CACCAAGGGTCTGCTCTTAGCCCTTTTTTGTTCGCCTTGGTGATGGACGTCCTAACTCAAGGTGTTCAAGACGGGGTCCCATGGTGCATGCTTTTCGCGGATGATATTGTGCTTATCGACGACACGCGTGAGGGACTAAACGATAAGTTGGAATTATGGCGCCTTGCCCTTGAGACTAAAGGATTCAGAATAAGTAGGAACAAGACTGAATACATGGAATGTCGTTTCAGTGGCCGGGATACAGAATCAGAGGTGGAAGTCAAGATTGACTCTCACCTAGTACCTAAGGTAGACAGGTTTCGTTATCTTGGCTCAGTAATTCAGGCAGATGGGGAGTTAGATGCGGATGTTGGACATCGGGTTGGAGTGGCTTGGGCCAAATGGCGGTTAGCTTCAGGGGTGTTGTGTGATCCGAAGATTTCGCCTAGAATGAAAGGTAAGTTCTATCGATCCGTAGTCAGACCTGCTATGTTATATGGGGCAGAGTGTTGGGCGGTTAAGAAGACTCATGTGCGTCGTTTGCATGCGGCGGAGATGCAGATGTTACGATGGATGTGCGGGAAGACAAGGTTACATAGGATTTCGAATGAGGTTATCCGACGTCAAGTAGGTATGGCACCGGTGGAAGACAAGTTGCGGGAAGTGAGGTTGAGGTGGCTTGGCCATGTGAGACGGGGGGATGCTGACGCCCCTGTACGGAGATGCGAGAGGATTACAGTTATCGGGGGAAGTAGGGGAAGGGGTAGATCTAAGAAGAATTGGGAGGAGGTGATAAGATAGGATTTAGGGCTTCTCGACTTGACTGAGGATATGGCTCTAGATAGGAACCTTTGGAGAACTAGGATTAGATTAGCTGGATAGGAGCTCGGTGTTGTAAAGGTTGTTTTGTAGTGTGTTGTATTTGTTGGAAATCTTTTGCTATTGTTTGTACTTGTTGCTTGTACTTAGTGTCTTATCTGTGCTATACTGTGTTCTCTTCCATATTTTTATGCAGGTGGAGCCGGGGGTCTCTTGGAAATAGGGATGGCAACGGGTCGGGTTTGGGTCGGATAGTACTATACCCGAACCCGACCCGACTTTAAAAACCGAAACCCGAACCCGACCCGAAACCTGACTTTTTAAGCCAAAACCCAAACCCGACCCGAACCCGAAATTCCAACTAGAAACCCGAACCCGACCCAAACTCGAGTTTTAACTTGTGTCTCATTTTTTTATTAAGAAATTATAAAAATGATTATAAAAGGCATACTTGATATAGTAGTACTTTGTCAAGAGATTATACGAAGTGCTCATTATATCCATAGATAGGCTTTTATATTATAAAATATTCGGGTTTGAGTCGGGTCGGGTTCAGGGTCGGGTCGGGTCGGGTCGGGTAAAATAATTAAACCACACCCGACCCGACCCGATGTCGGGTTCGGGTAAAAATTTCAGGTCGGGTTCGGATTATTTTATTCTCGGTTCGGGTTCGGATATTTTAGTGGTCGGTCGGGTCGGTTAAGCTCGGGTTTGGGTTGAATTGCCATCCCTACTTGGAAACAGCCTCCCTACTTCCGAGTAGGGGCAAGGTCTGCGTACACACACCCTCCCCAGACCCTACTGTTGTGGGATTCAACTGGGTTGTTGTTGTTGTATTAGTTATTTGATAAAACAATAGAGTCATGTTACCACTAGTTAGATCTTTTAATATAATTTTTAAATATATAATTTCTATTTTCAGTTTTACACCATTTTTCATATAAAATGATTTAAAAATAACTTCAATCAAATATCACAAACTGAAACAAATAACTTAAATTGGGACAGAGGAGTACAAAAAAGTGTAACGAAATGTTCATATACAATGCCACATTATCACAATGCAAACTACTATTTTGAAAATAAAAATATGGTACCTACTTTGATACTTTTTCTATATTTTACTTTTAGAGTAAATTCTTTTAATATACTCATTCTCTTGTAATTTATACTAGACTCGTACTCGTGCGTTGCACGGCCTAATTATAAATTATATAATTATGAAAAGTATTAATGAAAAAATGATAAAATTAAATTATAATAATAATATATAATCAAATAATAAAGAAAAATTGTAAATACTCCCTCCGTCCAACTATTAAAGTTCCCGGTTTGACCGGGCACGCACTTTAAGAAAATGTAAAAATTTCTTTGACTTTCCCAAAATACCCTCCACCCTACCCCACTTCCCCACCCATTTCTATCCTGCCCAAATGACTTCCCCCAACCCAACCGGCCAGAACAAATTTCCGGCGACCGATCAAATTTCAGGCCAGAGAAGATCCTTCCTCGCCGCCGATCTCCATACAGATCTGAATCGGATTTCTCAGATCTGATTGATATATGAGCAATTGAATCGAAAAGAGGAAAAGAAATAAGAAGAGATGAAAATGGAGTGTGGCTGGACCAAATCCGAAGGGTGGAGGTGAGATGAAAAGAAAGAAGAAGAAGAAGAAGAGAGGAAGGAGGAGGAGGTAAAAAAGGTCGAGGAATCGGAAGAGGGGGGAGAAGAAAAGAGGGAGGAAGAAGAAGGAAATAAAAACAAGAAGAAAAAAGAGGAGAGAAGGAAAATCGGAAGAAGGAAGAAAAAAGAAAAAGAGGAGAGAAGAAAAATCGGAAGGAAAAGGAGAGAAGGAATTGGAAGTTTCTGGAGAAGAAGAGAAGAGAGGACAAGAAAAGGAAAGGAGAAGAAAGAGAAAGGGAGGGGACTGCCGCAGGAAGGAACAAGAAAAAAAAGAAATAGAAAGGGTATTTAGGTCATTTTAATAAAGAAAGTTTACTAAAAAAGGAAATGTGAACATTATTTATGGACGGACCAAAAAGGAAAGTGGGAACTTTAATTATGGATGGAGGGAGTACAATACATGTTTACCATTAAAGATCACTCTCAGGGGCGGATCCATATCATAATAGTTGGGGGCAATGATTACTTATTTTAAGTTGTTTTTATCATTGTATTGTGATACTTAAATTTTTTTAATTTTTTCTTAGAGTTATGTAATTTATGACCCGAACTAAAAATATTAGAGATTCCAATTAAAAGCATTAGAAAAATGAATGGTGGAGGACAAATGAGGTACACATTTGGTGTACCCCTAGCATGACTCTTTTTTTCATGATTACCTAAGCCACCCTATTCAAAAAAGAGTGATGCTAGAGTCACAAACAATTCACAAAATTCACAAACTTGCCTTTTTAACATTTTTCTAGAAATAAGATGCACTCAAATATTAAAAAATACAAAAGGCAAATTTGTGAAATTTGTGAACTTTAAGTTTGTGACTCTATAATTTTTCATTAAAAAAAGCTACCCTATACTAAAGCTAGGAATTTTAAACAGCCTGGCGCAACCACATGCTGTCCAATATCCGAACCCAGGCCCACCACATATCACAGTCCAATTTACCCAAATCCGGCCCAATAACTTCAGGCGGGAACAATGTTCATTTTGGCCTCCTACCATTGTACTAGTTTTCTACCCCGTGCTTCGCACGGGCTTGTGTAAAGTGCTCTTTTTGAAAACTTTGTTGTAATATTTGCGTATTAAAGATATGTCGCAACGGAATAGTGGTGAGCTAGAATTTTACTCTAGAAATATGTGCATTTCATGGAATATTTCATTTTTAGTAGTGTAGTTAAATATTTGGTAAGTAAGACACTTTTTATGGTAAAATAACGGTTTACAAATTGTTAATAAACAAATGGAGCTTGTGTTTTGTAGTAACCATCAATGTAAAATGGATGTGAAACAAATGTAAAATTAACTCTTAACGATACCTAAAAAGAACCATATTTGATCAACCAAAGAGAACATGAGAGGTTAGAGTGAAAGTAGTAATTCAACAATTGGATAAACCAAATCATGAGCTCAAAGTAAAAACACAATTATAAATATAAAATGAATTTCAATTTCATCCATCCAAAAGTTAGAAAATCAAATCTTGAAAAGTACCATTGGGATAGTAGAATCACCAAAACTTCATTTGTTCGAATTCTTCAAATACCTAATTGAAGTGATACTAAATTAAGAAACCTGCATAAATTATCCAGTTATGATGATAATGTTGCTTTCTTTCTTGGAGCAGCTTGGGTGTTTAAAATTACAAAACAAAATTGAAGGCAATTCAGAACACAAACATCTGGAATCAGTTATAAGCTCTCAACTAAGACACAATTGTAAACTCAAAGAACGAACTCTCTTCTCTGAATTTGGTTTTGAAACGACGGGGCACATAGCAGAGATACATTCATGAATAAATCAATTAAAAATGACTAATTCTCTACTGATTAACTTTACAGGCTCGCACTTTCGATTGCGGGCAACATGATAAGCACAGTTTGCACAGGGAGAGCACACCTCACACGTAGGGTGTGAGGCTTGTTTCTCCTCTTTCTGATGATCTCTGTTTCATTTCCATGTGTTTTTCATCATCTCAACAATATATGTATTGGATCTGACGTTGCACGTGACTAAACAAACATTAACATCATGTAGTAAATGCAATGTACTTTAGTAGCTAGGTAATCAGACTCATGAGTTTGCTTATTTTAATCAAGGTTGTTGCTCTAATATAAAATATGATAGGCTAATTCGTTGGTGAGATGAACGTGGCTAGCATACTGTAGAAGTAATTGCATAAGAGAAAAACACAAAGGATATAATAACAAAAACAAAGATGAGGCTTAAAAAGCTAGTTGAACAGTCGATAGAGGTCGTGCTGCACTAACTACTCCTAGTTGATGAGCATGCTTGCATATTGTAGATTTTTGGTTGTATTGCAAGAAAGGAATATGCGCACTTGTCCTTTTTTTGTTGTTGTGAGAAAATAGATTTTCAAGTAATGAAGGAAAAAACTTATATATGAGGTGAATATACTAAATATGAGTTGATTACCTAACTTCAGTAGTCAGATCAAAACACCATAGAATAGTGATACCAGACCTCTTAAGCTTTGGGACAAATCCAGAGAAAGTGCTCAATCTTTTCTGCATTCTCACCCCCAATATCATTTGGGAGCAAGTTTGAATGTGGAATCTCTAATATAATGCCTCATCTCCACCGATCAGCGAATCCCTAGCTGTGATTAGTTCCTCTTCCCACTAAAACATAAACAGAATACAAACATAAATCTCACACACACACACAAAAGTGCATGTACCTTTTCAGCTTGTTCCAAACCAAATTTGGTTGCTCCGTATTTGAAAGCACGAAAAAATCAAGCTTGTGCGGTGGAGGGAGAAAGATGAACAACCTGAGGAATTAGACAGTCGGCAATTCAATCCCTAGATTCGTTACCTCTGTTAGAAGAATCAAGCAAGCAGGTGTTACGGAGAGGAAGAAGTGTGGTGGAACTCTTGCGCTTGATGGCCGCTGGGAACTCTTGTGCCAACCGGTGGGACTCTTGATCGTCGTTGATGGTGGTCGGTGGAACTCTTGATCGCCGTTGATGGTGAATCCAAAGAGGCAAAATGGATGGGAAACAGAAGGGACGGGCAGTCAATAACAATCACCAGGACTCCATAAAAAAATATTGGATTATTTTTTGACACTTATGGAGTATTTGTTTTATTTGATGAGTATACAAAAAATTTTCCAACCAAAACACTTGTTCCAAAATTGTAAAGAAATGACCCAAACCTGGTAGTTCGATCATCAGACTTGTTATCCTTCATAATCTTTATAAATAAAATGACTCTGTAGACCTGAAGCAACATCTAATGGAAAACCATGGAAACAGAAAGCAAAAATTGGTAGCCAGGTGATTATTTCGTCTAACTGACGCAACTGGAGGGTCGCAGAATCTTATATAGCTCTCCAGGTGGAAACAGAAACTGAATCTAGACGGGCAATTTTTCACCAAAAAAAAAGCAAATAAATACAGAGTTAAAAATTTACCTTTTATTTGTAAGGTTTGACGATTTTTTTCAAACCTCACAAATTGAGATTCACAACTCTTCAATTAATCAATCAAACAATCTTTTAAACTTCAACCTACAAATTTAGCATACGGATGTCACTTCTAAAATAAAAAAGATAAATACCAAGAGAGTTTAAAATTGAACCAAATGGTTGATGGTCAACATTTTGCTGGTTTTCTAATAAAGAGCTTATTTAACAACACACATACACTTAAAAATCAAATATGTATGTTGAATAAACAAACCAAAAAAATTTTGTAGAGAAATAGACCTGCTTTGAAATGCAGAAACCTATGTAAGCTTGGAATATCCTTATTCCCCTTGATGATCTCAATTACCTGCAAACATCATGTATGATTAACTTGGAATCCTTTGGCACAACTAATTTATGGTCGTGTTATTGACAACTAAATGTAATTAACCAAGCATATACAAACAATCAAGTATTTAAAACAAATACGCATTCAATTTGCGAGGTCTGGCAAGCAATGCACCTCTCGAACTCAAAGGTATCGGTTGATAGTTTTGTAATTTATCATTGAAAAATCCCTATATTATACAGACTCTGGCAGGGACACAGTAGCCAAAAGCTTATACACCACACTGAGTACATGGTAGGGGTTTTTAAAAAGAAAATGAACTTTTTTTGGAAGAAAGATTGTAATAAATAGGAAAGGACCCAAGCNCATTATGAAAAGTAAAAGCATATCCCGTTGCATAGTCCAATTTTCTCAATAAATGTGTCATTTTGTATAAGCAAACAACCTTATTCAGTAGTAATCAATTATTGAATCTCACACCTTTGCCGCTGGAGGGGGAGGAGAGCTGTCTAAAGCCGATGAGTTATCGAGGCAAGATAGGGACCCGCTGATCGAAGCCTGATCGCACCACCAACTCAATTTCATCTCTAACATAGAATAAGAAAATTTGGCTGAAAAGCAAGTGAAGGAGAGGGAAGGGCGTTTGGGGATTTGGACTGGAGCAGTGAAAGGGTGGAAACTGGAAACGGAAAAGGCAAGAAACTGAAAAAAAAAAAAAAAACTGATCTGTCAATTACAACCTACACACATATGGATCCTACGTGTAGTACACTTGGCAGCCCTACAGTTGCTGAACTCAAATATTATATATAAAGGACTAGTATTCCTACCCGTGCCACGCACGGGTTCAGACGAATATCTTGTCGATTCTGAATTTATTCAATGTAATACAAAGTATTTTTTTCCGGAATAAAGGAAATATACCTCATGCATGATTTATAATAACACAGAAAAAAAGACAAAGTAAAAAGAATAATATATGAGGAATTGAATCTACACATAACAAAGTTTGCTTTAGTACCAAATGTTTTGAAAGACTTCAAAGTATACAACATTTTTGGTATGGCTGCAAGGATTTCCATTGTCATCTAAGACAAATATTTTTAATCTTGTCTTTCTCTTCACTTGCAAAACAGCAACATAGAGCTGACCATGAGTGAACACTGACTTGGTTAAAAATAATCCAACAAATGACAATGTTTGACTTTGACTTTTGTTAATAGTCATCGCAAAACATAAGACTATTGGAAATTGTCTTCTCTAGAACTTTAGAGGTAGTCCTGGATCAGACGGTACCAAATTCATCTAGGGTATGTAAACTTTTTCGCCCACTCGATTTCTCGAAACCACAATAACACCAATAACATTCTTTCGCATCTCGTCAACAATTAATCTTGTACCATTACACAATCCAGGTGTTTGGTCAATGTTCCTAAGTAACATAATTGGTACCCCTTTTTTAAAACTATCTTGTGGTTTGGGATTCTCGAACATTTGATTTCATTCAAAAACTCAACTGTTATCCAGTCGCCATCAACACCTACATCTGAATCTGCTTGGCATGATGAATCAGAACTCAAGTACACCATTTCATCTCTGGGAATGAGGGATAAGACAAATTCATTTACCATTTCTACAACTTCGAGCGTGGGTGCTAGTAGTGCCGTATCTTTAAAAAAATAACTTCTCATTTTCTCCAATAAGTTCGGATAAGTAAAATCCGCTATACTTTTGAGGGGTGAACTGTTATCTATAATCAAAAATTTGAGAGGAATTTCAATGTCAGCAGTTCCATCAATCACTTGTCCAAGCTTTCCATCTCCAACTTTGATTATCCGATCAGAAAAATCTTGCGTGTCTCTATCTACGTAAGAGGACGTTGATGAATGTAATCTCATATTTTTCGTCAACTTAAAAACTTTACAATAAGACCACAAATATATATAAAGTCTAGGTTTACTAAATTATATATCCACACACACACATACACACACACACACACAAATATATATAAAATCTAGGTTTACTAAATTATTACAAATATATAATTCTTTTCACCCCTTAATTCAAAAAATATACGACAAAAACATTAGTGATTTTATTATTCTTATCCCCCGCATTTATTTAACAAACTTAGATTTCCGATCCTGTAATTTTAATATTAAAAAATCATGATTCTTCTCTGCTAGATTAATTTACATTAACAGAAATATATGATTTTAATTTCTATGACGCATTAATGTGATTCTTCCTCTCCTTCGCCCTTTGCACTTATTAAAAATTGACTCCTTTTTCTTGTATTATTAAAATTAT